GTCCTCTGTTACTCCTGTAAGGATCTTAGTTTAGGGACTTTGTCAGATTTTCTTTCTTGCTTTTTTTTAGTTTTGTTTTGTTTGCTTATTTTGATGATACTTGCCATTGATTTAGGGCCATTGTAGCTACATCTCCACCCTTCTTTTTTTTATTTTTTATTTTGAGACAAGTCTCACCAAGTTCCCCATAATGGCCTTGTATTTGTAATACTCTTTGGTTGGAGTGTGCTACCATGCCTACCATGTTACCATGACACCAGTATACAAAGTACCATAGTATTTCATGATTCTTGATGTCTGGCATATTCATTCTTTTGTAGGAGCATTAGGCTTTTTGTCTGCTTAGCTTATATTTATTATTTTTGTTGTTATTGTTCTTTTGGGAGTTGAATTCAGGACCTTGTGCTTGGCAGGCAGGCACTTGTGCCACTGAGCTACATAGATCGCTCTACTTCACTTTTTTAAACAATTTTTTAAAATTGTGTATTTGGTATAGGGTCTCACTATGCAGATTGGACTTATGGTGAGCCTCTTGTTTTCAGCCTCCCCAGTGCTGGGATTATAGGCATGCTCCACCACACCCCGACTTGGTTGCCAGCTCAGTGTGCCCTGGGGGTGGGGCTGGCACACCATGTGGGACTAGGGATCAAACCCTGATACCTGTGCTAGCCGAAGTGGGTGCTTAGTATGCTGAGCTATCTTGCCAGCCCCTCTACTTTGCTCTTGAAAACCTCAAATCTTTTGTTTTTTCAGGGTACTTTATAAAACATTCTCATGTTTCCAGCTGGGTGTAGAATTGGTTAATCAGTTAATAACTTGATTTAATGGCAGATTGGTTAACACTGGGTAATTTGATTTTATGTGCATGTAAGACCTGTGCACAGCATCACAACACCATAAAAGATAGTTATCAAGTTGCTAGATAACACCTCTTCCCATATGATAATTGTGATTTAAAAACTTGGCTTTCAATTTTTTCTTTTTCAGATCACTTTCTTTACTAGTACATGCTTGCAGTACATTGGATTCCTTGTGTAGAGCCCGTCCATGTGCACACCACATCTTAATTGCTTTTCTCATCCCTTTTTCCTACCCTCCTTCCCACCTCCATCCACCTCTTGATCCCCTTTCTTTTTGTGTAGGTTTGCTGTACAAAATATTTACATTCCAATAATTAATTCTTACTAAGAATTTGTGATCATGTGGATTTTAATCTTTCATAATCATTGAATAAAGGCTTTGATCACCACATGAATAAATTATTTCAGATATAATGTACAATAAAGCTTAGAAGAATAATCTAAAAAAAAATAAAGTTTTGTCCTTCAAAAGAGATCAAGAAAGTAAGAAGACAATCTGCATGAGATAAAATATTTATAAATCATATACTGATAAGATTTGCATTCAGAATGTGTAAAGCCTCTTTAAAACTCAATAATCAAAAGACAACCCAATTAAAAAATGAGTATAAAATCTAATTAGACATTTTTCCAAAGAGAATAAACAAATGGCCCGTAATTACGTGACAAGATGCTCAACATTCATCATGAAAATGCAAATCAAAAAAATCAAGTTACTACTTCACAACTACCAGAATGGCTTTCAATAAAAAAAAAACCTAGACAATGAATAACAAGTATCGGGAAGGATGTACAGAACTTGGAACTCTTGCACATTGCTAATGGGAGAGAAAAGGATGGGTCCCTTTGAAAAACAGCCTGGGAGTTTCTTAAACAGAATTCCCATATGATCCGTCCCTTCTCCTCCTAGATATGTATCAAATAGAAATGAAAACGTACATACACAAACCCAAGTATCTGTCACAATAATGTTGATAACTGCTTTATTCATAATAGCCACAGAGTGGAGACAAGCCGAATGTCCACTAAGTGATGAAAGGGTAAACATGTGGTCTATTGATAATGTGGGATATTATTTGGCCATAAAGAGAAATGAACTACGGTACTGATAGAGGCTGCAACACCTCTGAATGCTTCAGCAATCTTGAAAACTTTTTTCTAAGAAAAGAAACTAGCCGCAAAAGCCTATATATTATGTGATTCCATTTCCACAAAATAGGCAATTCCATAGATAATGTAAATAAGTGGATGCTTAGAGCTGGGAGCAATGGGGGTGATTAGAGGTCATCATCTTTTGGAGGTGATGAAATGTTCTAAGATGACTGCGGCAAAACCCTGTGACTATACCAAAAACCACTGAGCAGAATACCTTAAAGGAGTGTATTGTATAGCACCCATAGTAAAGATCAACAAAACTGTTTTAAAAAAATAAAGAAATTCTGGCAGCTTCAACCCTCACTTCAGAAGTTACTCAACTTCTCTGATTAGTTCCTCTATAAATAAATGGAGATAGCAGTTGTTTTCTACTTTACAAGATTGTTGTAAATATTAAGATAACAATAGTGTCTAATTTTAAAAATAACTTGTTATATCATTTATTATAACGTTTTCCTAGAAAACTGTATGAATATCTACTGACTCCACCATCTCATTATTGTAAATATGATACAAACCCTTTGCAGTTTTCTTCAGAGTAATGGTGGGTACATTATGTTCAATACATTTTAGAAGTTAGATGTTGTTTTTCGAATTTTAGGTTGTGTTCTTTTTTTTTTTTTTCTCCCTAGTGATATTTATGGAAATTGTTTCAGACTTTGCTGTTCTGTGGGGTAACATAGTCTAACCAGTAGTATGTATTTATTAGAAACGTGGAGGAATTGGGACGGGCAAGTTCAAAACCGTGCCAGCCACACAAATCCATACTATATGGAGGTGACACTTAGGAAGAGATTCTATCATAGTTAAAACCTGTGTATTGTAGGGTACTAAACAACAGCACTGAAACTGAGAATAAACTATAATAAGTAATTTAAACTCTGTAAAATGGAAATACTATACTTACCTCACAAGACTACAATAAAACAAATATTTACATTCAAGCCACGTACGTGTATCCGTAGTCGCAAACCTATTCATTCCTGTCTCCTATTTGGTTTACAAGCGAACAGCTTTCTTCTAATTTGACCCTTCGGGCCTCCCGTTGCGTGAGTTACAGCGCACATGCGCAGAAGCCCTCTGACCCTTTGGCCTGGGGCTCGCCTAACTTTGACAATGGCGGCTCGTGGCGTGGGGCTGCTAACCCTTTTTCCCCGCTGTGCCCGGATGCGAACTCGAATCCAGTGTCCTGCTTTCAGACGTCTTAATTGTGCAGGGACCGCAGCGACAGATCTTAGGAGAGAAGAGCAGCCTTCTGGGAGCGTGGAGACAGGTGATGGCGCCGCGTCCCGGGTTCGTTCTGTAGCCGGGTCCCACGGCGAGCGAGGGAGGCGGCCAGAGCCGGGGACCGCGGGCGAGCGCGTGCGTGTGCCCGCGCCGCGGTGAGGGTGCGCGGCTGCGTCCCGGCCTCCTGACGGCGCTTGGGTCTCGAGGCTGCCTGCCGTCCTCGCGGCGGTCGGGGCGGGCGTGTGACGTTCCCGTGTTCGGGTCGCTCCTGCGGTGGACCGCAGTGGAAGCAAGCCTCCGTGACGTGGAGGCCGGTAGTACTGCTCGCCGGCGTTCCACTATTTCGGTAATTCTCACACACGCCACTCGTTCGTTTCGCTTTCACGAAGGGAGCGATTTTGATGCCTGAGGTGCCGCTGAAGGCTGAGTACTGTGGTGAACCTAGTGAATAACCGGGATTCCGGATGTCCCATTGCCTATGAACTTACTTGATATTTATCCCCTGGCCAAAAACTGACCGATAACGGATTCGCATCCATTTGTCCCGCAGGCGTTCTGAACATAACACTATTTTTGTACGAAAGGGCCCCTTTACCGAACCCCTCTTGTGGCTCCAGGGCTTCCATATGGTGTTTATAGTTTTTAAAATATCCTTGCAAGAAGTGTATTTTTTTGTCCTTTTTACAAATAAAGAGTCTCAGGAAACCAAGTGTCTTGTGCAGGATCCTACAATGTAGATCTTGACTCAAGCAACCAAACAGAATATATTGATTTCTATCATTTCTTGGAGCTACAGTTTTAAGAGAAAGTTATTTCTGGGAATTGTTTTAAAACATACTAAACAAGCAAATTGTTTTTCCCCAAAGCAGATTCCTGTTCATCAGATTGTAGAAAGAATCATTGACAGGGAGTGAAAATGCTCCTTTATGTGGCATCTCACTAAACTATTTATTGGATTTTATTTACTAGAAGTTGCTTTTGTTGAAAAATCTTAAATAACTCTACCAATTTGAGTAAGGATTCTGTCTAAAAAGCTGCTTAACTTTTAAGAAAACATTTCATTTAGGTGTCATTAGCATAATACTGTAACCAGCATGGCAAAATAGAACTTCAGAAGTTAGATTTTTTTTTTTTCTTTCTTTTTGGTGGAACCGGGGATTGAACTCAGGCCCTTGTGCTTGCCATAAAGCGCTTATGCTACTGAGCCATCTCCCTGGCCCCAATTTAGAGTGACTTTTTTTTTTTTTTGGTGGCACAGGAGTTCAAACTCAGGACTTCACACTTGCCAGGTGGATGCTTATGCTACTGAGCCATATTTCCTGGCTTAGATTTTTTTTTTCCCCATTAGTAGTAGTTTCTCCAAACCTCTTCAGGGTGAGGGCCTGAATGGCTACCCCTAACTCAGTCCAGATGAACACAAGATACAGATGGACAAAGGAGGGAGAGATCTGGGACCAGGAAGGGATGCATTAACCCTGAACCTGGCTGTTGTCTCACTGTATTCCTTTTCCTCACTGTTCCTTGCTATAAAAGACCCTAACATATCTGTACCCTGTGAGATGGTGACCTGAGGCAGATGGTCCACTCTGTCTCCTTTGAGTTAGCTTTTAATCCATTTTCCTTTCTACCAAAATAAATGGCCTCCTTTCGTATAGCCAGCGGGACCGTGTAAACCTGAGGTGAACCAAAAATGACTAGTAACAAAACGGAACTAAATTTTCAGGAACTGTTGCAGGGGCATTAATGAGCAACAAAATGGTCATTTGGATTTACCATTTCTAAAAAAAAGTAAGAGGTAACTATCCTATATTCTCACTTAGAAGCATATAGTTTTGTAATTGGAAAGAACTGGAGAAATATCCAAATTCAACTTTTTACTCAGTCTGAGAACTCATTACCAAAACAATCATAGTAACATTTTATGTAAATAGGGAAAAAATGGTCACATAAATCCAATATGATCAGGTTCTCTGGGTGGAAAGATATTTATAGTGGGGTAAAATCTACTGAGTTCTCATGTTCATGTTGGTCTTAGTTTTTGTTTTTTTTTAAATCCCTTTTTTCTTGACCTTTTTACTTTATTTTTAATTTATTTTAAAAAGAGTATAATAATTGATAAGACATCAGAGATGGTACACATTTAGAACAAGATGATAGACATTCAACCTTGGTTTTTGCATTGCACATTGCTGTCTTCAATGAAGCTGCTCAGATTGCTGATAGTAGCATATAGAGTGAAAATTTTGAACATTAACTTATTTTCAAAGAACTGATGGAAATTGGTAATATAGTCATCTCAGCTATCTTGTATATATACTTGCATTATTTTTACCCTTTTTTCCTATCTTAGCTTTGACATAGCTTTCACATAAGTGGAAGAAAGGGTTTTAATAGTAAGAATAAGAGTGTGTTGGGCCAGACTATTGGGTGCAGATGGCAAAAACTAAGTCAGCTTAAATAGGTTCAGAGGAACACATCAACCCATGTAACAGATTCACTTGAAATGCTAGTCAGAACAAACTGTTGCCCTTCTCCTCAACTGTGGTTTGGAGCCTTATAACTTCAGTTTCTTGAAGTGTGTTGGTAGTGGGAATGATGATAGCTCCATGTTCGCATGCTTGCAGCATTCTTCAACGGGAATAAAGTTAACTTTTACCTGCCTTTGGAAAATTCCAGGAAAGGTTTTGGTTGATTTTACACCCAACTTTTGGACCAAAAAAAATATCCAGAATTATCTGGTAATCCTGGCTAGTGGGAGGGAATTACCTGTGATGTAGGATAGCTGTATCGAAAATTCCACCATAACCACAAAGAGGCTGTGTTTATATGCAAGTGCATGTGTTTGTGTGGGTGTGTGTTTTAAACAAGCAAGGATATATCATTGCAAGAAGAGTAGATAGATGCCAGGCAACCAAGCAGTAGCTAAATTCTGTATGAGGCTGTCCAGTTTCTTACATGTTTGATTTTGTGCATTATTTTCTCTTGCAATGATTCCAGCCCTGTTTTAGGAGAGAAAGAAGTATATATGTACTTGCATGTGACAGTGCTTGAAAAACTATAAAATGCTGTTCAAAAAGAAGGTTGCTGTATTTGAAGACCACTCAGCTCTCAGGTTCTCCCAAGTCCCTCCACGCTCCAGTGGCATAAGTCCTCACTTTACAGTAATTCCCTGCATTTTCTGGCGTTTCTGTTACACCCTTTCTCAGTGTTCTTTTAGTCTTCATATCCATTATATGCATGTGTCAAAAGGCAGAAATCTTTTTTTTTTTTTTTTTTTTGTATTTAGGACAGGGTGTACAGGATCTCACTGTGTAGATCAGACTCCTAGTGATCCTCCTGTTTACAGCCTCCCAAGTGCTGGGATCACAGGCAAGCACTGCCAGGCCCAGTCTCAATTACCGGCTCAGCATGCCCTGGGTGTGGGGCCGGCTTGGCCAGCTTGGCTTGGCAGGCTGGGGGATCAAACTCCCAGCCCCTGTGTTTGCCTAAGCTAAGGCAGAAATCTTATAGATACATATAATACACACAGATACACACACACACATATACACACATGTTCAAACTTAATAGCAATTACTAGGGTAAGTGATCTGGAGCAGAATTTACTTCTAAACTGTCAAACACTGTTGGACTTCTTCCATAAGTTTGGATATCAGTGTAGACTTACTAAAATTCAGAGACAAGAATGTATAGGTGGTAATTACGACTGAAAAATGGTGAACTGCTACAGACCGAGCCTGTAGCATAAGAAGAGAAGGATATAGTGACCAATAGGAAGGAAGATGTTAGTAGACTGAGATCCAATTGAACAAGAGTAGATTTTCCCCAATATGAAGAAGATATTCTTCTATATTGTTGAATAAATGTGTAACAATGCTATGAATTATGTTCCTTCATAGATGCTAAAGTAAGGTAATACAGAGGTGGAAGAAATTCTACCATAGAGAATCAGAAGGCTTCACAGACCTGAGCAGAATTTGGAGGAGGAATGGGATTTTACGAGACAGAAAATGAGAAGGTGGGCATTCCAACAGAGGGATGAAGGCAAGACAGTGTGTAGTGTGTGACGGCCTTGGATGTGTAGACTACCACACGTGGAAAGTGCAAAATCTGAACTGAAGAGGGAAGGAGGAGGTGCTGACTACTTTAATGCCGTGCTGTGGACTTTAGACTTGGTCTTTAAGGCAGTGAAGAAGTATTAAAGCATTTTAAGAAGAAAAGTCAAAGAATAGGACTTTCTTAGAAAGATCATTTTATGAAGATCACTTTGGCTACAATGTGGAAAATTGCTTGAGAATGACGAATTAGGGTGACTAAGACCAGTTTCAAAGTCTAGCTTTTTTGGTGATAAAGGCCTGAAATATAGGATTGACATTAAAGAACTGGCAGTGGGAGTAGAGAAGAGGGCACATCCTTTAAAGGCACATTTTCAGCATTAGTATAGCAGGCATAAGAAAGATGATCTTCCATGTTACATCCTTGGTTAAAAATGACGAGCAGGCCTGGACTGCATTCCCTCTGTGCCATTGGAGTCTCGTGTCTAGGCTGACACACAGCAGTTTGCTGGTGTCCATGAGGATGTCCTGAAGCTTGCTAAAATTCAGATAGTGCATTTGGAGAATTTTCTTGACCCAGCAGTTTTGTATCTTTCATCATTATATACTGAAAATATTGATACAAATAATACAAATAAAATACTAATACAAATGAAAAGCAAGACAAAACATGAGGCTAAATGCTTCTGCTAATTTCCAGTATCAGGTTTTTTTTTGGTAGCAGGGATTAAACTCAGGATCTTGCGCTTGCCAGGCAAGTACTTATTCTACTGAGCTATCTCCCTGGCCTTCATTTAGGTTTTTGATTGTATTTAATTTGTTTGGAATTTTAAAAATTATTTTATTATTTTTTAAAATCTTACTTGTTACAGAGTCTTGCTCCACAGCTCAGACTCATAATCATCCTTCTGTCTCAGCCTTCCCAGCTCTGGGATTACAGGCATGTGCCACCATGCCTGGTTTCGGTGGCATGCCATGAGGTTCCAGGACCAGCATGGCATGCAGTTCTGGGGATCAAACCTGGTTCCTTTTGCTTGCCAAGCAGGTGCTTAGACCACCAAGCTATCTCCCCACCCTCAATTTTTTTTTTTTTTTTATTTTAAAGAGGAAAAAAGGCAGTGTTACAGAATTTCAAAACAAGATAATAGGAAATTAACAATGATCATTATCCTGCATATTGCTGTTTTCAAAGTAGTTGCTCAGATTACGAGATAGAGACATGCAAAATTGATCAAATATAAGCACATACTATTCCTTTCAATGAACTACTAGAAATTAGTGGTATAAATTATCTCATGTGTGAATGTGTATATGTATACGTTTTCTTTTCCCTTTTGTTTGGAATTTTGTTGAGACTGCTGGTAGCAGGCTGAGGGATTCTAGACTTAGGTGTTTTTTGGATGTTTTGTTTTTGAGATAGGGTCCCGCTGTATAAGTCAGGCAGGCTCTGGGCTTCCTATGTAGCCTAGGCTGGCCTGAAACAGCAGTGCTCCTGCCTCAGCCTCCTGGGTGCTGGGATTACAGACATGCACTAGTATGCCTGGCCTTAGACTTTTAAACCAACTAGAAGCTAAACATCTTACAAGGATAGGAGGATGCATTGTTAAAATCCAATGTGTGGTTTTACTATTTTCTTCAGACTTTTATCTTCCCTTAATTCTTGACTGTCAATGCTTGTTTTCATTCCCTGTGTTTTTAAGACTTTTTACCTCTAGAAAGTCTTTTAAATTAAAAAAGAAAAGAAAGAAAAAGCTCTGTTTTCTCAGTGAACTTTGATGGTCTCTTCTTGGGCATAGCTAGATTTTAAGAACTGACTTCTTCCTGAAACAGTACATGGTAGATGGTAACTTGATGGTAATTGCTTGAGGCAAATCAAGAACTTTGACAAAGAAAAACTCCTCAATAACTTTAGAACATTGAACTGAGATCATTGTCTCATTACACATAAGCTCATAAGTTCTTTTAGGCTTTGGGACAGTTTAAATGAGTTTTGTGTGCATGTATTTATGAAAACAATAAATGAGTGGTTTTCTTTTTAGGATTCTGTGAAACTTTATTTTTTAATGCTGTGCATTGAGTGTAGCAAATTAAAATATATAAAGTGGACATTTTTAGTAATAGTCACAGAACAGCAAAGTGAAGTTTGAAATGTGTCTTAACAAATAAAATCTTTATATACTTTATCTCAGTGTTTAAACTTTGCATGTATATATGTGTACATGTGGTGGAAATGTATTTGTCTCATTCATAGGATCTACAGACAAGATTCCCAAAAAGACTTTCTCTGAGATGCAAGATGAAAGACGAGAACAGGCACAACGGACTGTGTTAATACATTGCCCAAATAATAAAATCAGTGAAAAAAAGTTTCTCAAGTACGTATCTCAACATGGACCTGTTCGTAGTCACTTCTTCTATGAGAGCTTTGTAAGTATTTCAAAAACAATTTAGCCTAACTTCCCTTTTAAAGGGTGTTTTTGTTGTTGACTTTTTTTTTTCTTTGTATTTAAGACAGGATCTATAGGGTCCATAGGGTTTCACTAGGTAGATCGGACTCATAGTGATTCTCTTGTTTTCAGCCTCCCAAGTGCTGGGATTACAGGTGTTTGCCACCACACCCAGTCTCAGTTGTCATCTCAGAACACCCCACAGGTGGGGCCGACAAAGCATGCCGGGGATTGTACTCTGGCCGCTGCCCTCTGCCTAAGCAGGAGCTTTAGCATGCTGAGCTATCCAGCCAGCTCTTGTTGACTTTTATAGTATGGTAAAGTTGGATTCTCTTTTGATAACTGACATTGTTCTTTAAATTTTTTTCATGATGCTTGTTGTTTTCTTTCTCTCTCTTTTATAAACAGAAAGCTCATTTGGATTGGTGATGTATGCCTATAATCCCAGTATTATGGGAGGCTGAGTAGTATGATCACAAGTTCAAGTTTGACTCATCCTAAGGGCTTAGTGAAACCCTGTCTCAGAGTTGAGGTAGGGCAGGGGCTGGAGATGTGGCTCAGTGCAAAGGCTCTGGGTTCAATCTCCAGTGTGACCACCAGAAAAAAAAATAACAAAGAAAGGGAAAAACCAAATCCTCATGGCAGTATTTTACAGTTAATTCTGCTGTTTGAACACTTGGATCATGTAATGCAGTGTCTAAAGGCCAGTAGAATGGGATCATTGATTTGCCTTTTAATTTTTCTATTCCAGTATTCTTTTCATTTTCTCTTAAATGATAGTTTTATAGTATTCCTTTTTT